TCCGCCGTCGACAAGTCCGCACAGTGACGGACAAAATGTCACGTCACAGAACATATCAATGATATAGTAACTTAGTCTATATACCTGTGTTTTTGTGTTAATTTATGTTTATTTATACTTGTACACGTTATAATATCGAACACAACTCTTGATGTTGAGAGGAACGCAAAAATAGAGCCATTTTACATCACGACAGACGTTTTTAAATGAACGTTATGTAGCAATAGAATCAACGAGAATACACATGTTGGAAATTGAGTCGGGGAAAGGAACTAGTGAGGAGGTGACGTATGTAGTTTGGAGTGGGAGAAAAGATGTTCTAGGAGGAGGGTAGGCGGTCTAATATTGGAAGATAAGCGTCTGGAAATGAAACTGTATCATTTTGTAAATTTAACTCCTTATGTTGTCTTTTAATGTATAGCATTTCAAAAATCATTCTCTTGTTATATGATGGTTTAACATCCAAAATCTTTACTCCGTGTTAAAATTGTTTCTTTGTATACCAATGTTCCTATTGAGAGTGCAATTATCAGTTTAAAAAAAAGATGGTCTTCAATCTCAAAAAACATTAAACTCACTGAAGGTGAATTTATTATTTCGGTTAGATTTGTTTTAGAATCTACATATTTTATGTTTAATGGAGTGATCTACAAACAGGTTTTCGGGACTCCCATGAGCTCTCCTCTTTCTCCCATTATTGCCAATATTGTTATTGAAGATTTAGAGGAGATAGCATTACAACGAGTTCCATGCAACATTCCCATCTGTTACAGATATGTTGACGACATATTATTAGCAGCCCCTCCTGAATTCCTTGACGCTATAACCGATTGTTTTAACTCTATACATGACAGATTAAAATTCACCATTGAAGTTAGTAACAACAATATAATTAATTTTTTAGACATATTCATCATAGCACATAATAACACAACACAACAACAACAACAACAACACACACACACACACACACACACACACACACACACACAGTATCATTTTTGACAGTTATAATAAACCCACATGTTTCCGGGTAGATTCTTAAATTTTTATTCTCACCATCTTCCGAGTCACAAAAATGGGGTAATAATTAGTTTAAATGACAGAATTTTATTATTATCTCACACATCCTCAATTTCACCAAGTAAATCTCACAAAAGCAATTAACACTTTACTAAAAAACGGTTATCCACTTACATTGATTTTTGCAACGATCAATAAAAGAATAAAACATCATTCTCACAATAATCCGAAAAGAGCTTTTCCATTAACAAAAGACAAGTTTTTTACAGTTCCTTATATTAAATCGATATCTGAGTCGTTTGTTCCGATGGCATCTTTTGTGCATAAAAAACCGGCCTACACAATACCCAATACTCTCAACAAATTTATCAGTAGAGGCAAAGACAAATTAAATTTTTTGTCGCAACAAGATATAGTGTATAATATCTCGTGCCATGATTGCGACGCTAGTTATGTGGGATAAACGAAAAGGAAATTACAAACGAGAGTCCGAGAACACCGATCGGATATTAATAAAAAAACGGGTTCTCCGTGACTTATATCGAGTCATCGAGTTTCGCATGACCACGAGTTTGATTGGCACGGAGTAAAGATTTTGGATGTTGAACCATCATATAACAAGAGAATAATTTTTGAAATGCTACACATTAAAAGATAACATAATGGGTTAAATTTACAAAATGATACAGTTTCATTTCCAGACGCTTATCTTCAAATATTAGACCGCCTTCCTCCTAGAACATTTTTTCTCCCACTCCAAACTACATACGTCACCTCCCCATTAGTTCCTTTCCCCCAACTCAATCTCCAACATGTGTGTTCTTGTTGGTTCTATTACTACATAATGTTCATTTTAAAACGTCTGTCGTGATGTGAAATGGTTCTATTTTTGCGTTCCTCTCAACATCAAGAGTTGCGTTCGATATTATAACGTGTACAAGTATAAATAAACACAAATTAACACAAAAACACAGGTATATAGACTAAGTTACTATATCATTGATATGTTCATTGAATAATTTTTAGTACATGCGAATTCATTAAATTATAATCAATTAGATCATCAATGTTGGTGGATTGAATGCGTTTTTAATTTGAAATTCAAATGTATATGATTGATGTTCTGATCAATTGCATTAATTTAATATGTTAACAGTTTTTAATAACACTGATTGTTGGTGGAAACATAGTATAATGATTGCTCAAGACAGTCTATTTCGATGTGATGCGCTAAACTCATTTATATGTCAGGAACATCAATGGTCTTTAACATCGGTGGACCAGCACACGTTGTAACCATAAGTTTTTTAATAATAGTTCACATAAGTTCATTGTATTATGAAGACAGATATGATATCTGATTTAATAATTTTATAACGGTTCTGTTTTACAATTGAAAATGACCTCGTGCATAGGTCGAAACGTATTGTTTTTATATTTTATATGACTAATGTTAAGTTGTTCATTTCGTCCGTTCATACGTTCAAAAATTTTAATTTGAATTATTAGTTTTTAAGATCGTTTCACATTACGTCTATTATGCGAACGACTTTTAAAAGTTCCACTATAAAAAAGGTCGTTCGCATAATAGACGTAATGTGAAACGATCTTAAAAACTAATAATTCAAATTAAAATTTTAGTACATAGCTTTTGCTACATACCAAAGTAATTGTCAGACATATTATCATATCATCGAGTTAATCCATTATTATTTTATGATTTATAGATTTTTATATGTCGAATTTAATATATTGTAAGTTTATAATAGTTGTTTACATTTGTTACATCTTTTACATTTTTATTTTTTGGGAAATTACATTAATTTGCCTCATAGCTGTTGAGTTGGTATCTTAATTTATTAAAAATCGAGTGCGAACTTCACGAAGTTATATAACTATGGAATAGGAAATATTATCGAGTCTCAAAAATTATTGTTATTAGATTATTAGTCAAATATGTGAAATAATTTGAAGAAAAAAACGATTTGAAGGAAAAAAGGCGACGTGAAAAATGTGAAAGAAAATCAGGAGAATTTACCATCTGCATTATAGTTATCCATCGTTTCATAGGTGCGACAGCTTTTCGAACATTTGGTCCCCAAGCTGCTGAAAGGTAGTACATGTACATTATGGTGTGCATGAAGCTGTTAATGAAGAACATCAACGTTACAGGAGCAACGGCATAATATCTTAGACTTAACCACGCCAAAAGTAAGGTAGACACATGATGATACAAATGCAATGCGGTTATCTGATTGTCTTTCTTCCTTAATACAAATATGCCCGTTTCAACATAATCCAATATTTTTAACAGAAAGTAATACCATAAGGACCTAATTATCTACAACAAAATTTAGCCATTATTATTTTGTGACATATTATTTTATGAAATCAATATGAGTAATATTATATAAATACCATTATTAACTATAATGATATAGATATGTACACACACACATACGATATATTAAGAATTAGTATCTTACTAGTCGTACATTTGAAAATTTAACAATAAGAAATATAAGTGGCCATAACGGTCAAAGCTAGATCTTTAATAATTCAATCTGAATTAGTATATATATTATACATGTACGTACATGCATATATACCATATTTGTAGTTATTTGAACTGTGCGCCAAATCAATTTTCCGGACTTATAAACGCAATTAAACTACAACTACTGTAATAATATCACGAATTAAATTGATAAGCAATTTTAATAATTTAATGCTCAATCCTGTTAGAAAGATGTTAATATGCTGAAAAACTATAAATAAATTTGTACAGAATACAAGAGATTCGGATTCGTCTCCCGGCCGAGGTAATATTTTTCGCAATTTTATTTACAGTTTTTCAGCATATTAATATCCTTCTAATAGGATGTCTTGCGGTGCGCAATTCAAATGACTACAAATATGATAATAAATTAAATACAGATTGAGATATTTAACAAAGATTGAGGTGCGCAATTCAAATGACTACAAATATGATAATAAATTAAATACAGATTGAGATATTTAACAATAATAATGAATATTACAATAAAATGACAGGCGATTGAGATCTAAGGAAAGACGCAGTTATTAAGTGCGTGTAAAAAATATATTAAAAAAACTCTTACATCAACCTCGCAAGAGGTTTCGCAAAAATCAAAATCGCACATTTCGGTTTCATTCGAGCCATCATCAGCGATGTCAAATAATTAAAGTGATCATTACTCATATCTTAAACGATCCAACAGAGCAGCCGAAAGAGACCCTTCAATTTCAAATTTTGAGAAACATCCTTGTCCATTGACTGATTAGTCAAGTGAGAACTAGCGATAACAAATATAACTTATGGAGTGATGTTACGAAATATGTAATAAACTTAATTATGATTAACTAAAGAAATTCATCAGCTGCAAACTTTGATCAAATATAATGCAAAGGAGGAAAAAATATATCGAAAGAACTATCCCGTGACGAGTATATAATTGAAATGGATCTTCAAGACATAAAAATTACAGATGAGAGATGTGTGTGTGTGTATGTGTGTGTGTTGTGTGTGTCAAGAAATCTGGAGAAACTGGTAGTGTCTCGGCGCTAAACTGCGCGAAGCGACACTGCCGTGCCTCCTTTACGCGAACCGACGAGTTGCGGCAGATCGAGATTATCGGATTTCAATAAGGACTGAACCGATCGCGTTCTCTGTATGCTCAATCGATAGCCACCACACGGATTGTGTGATAAAAGTGCTTTTATTTTCTTTTCTACGTGCCCTACGAGCGGAGATATCGCGACGCAAAGTCCGGTCTGTGATGAATTCACCTAATTTTTAAGAAACGTCGTCGTCATTATTATCGTTATTGTTGCTATTATTATCATCGTCGAACCAGGAGAAAATGTCCATCTCGTTTTTTCAACACTAGAGGGCTTTTGACTTAACCTAGCGATGGCAGCATTACACATTCGAATGTGACCAACAACACATGACAGCTGTGATAATCAGCGATGGCAACATTGTCACATATA